TTATGTATAAAAATGTAACTGTAAAGTCTATCCTAGGCTTTGGCCACTTCCTTTTGAGGCTGGCTAGCTTTTGTACGGAGAAAGTTGTTAAGACACCATGGGTGTTTGGTGTTTTAGACCCAGTTACCAACTCCTGGGCATCTCCCCTACGAAGTCTCTTCCTTGCTCTTTACTACTGTGTGGAATAGGTTTGCAGGGCAGCCTTGTGGCTCTGGAAAACACAATCATTTGTGGGAAGGAGAGCAGGATTAATTCTCGCTGTAGTGCGCTGGGGGGGTGGAAGTAAGATCTGTTTCCTACTGATGTTTAGGTTGTATCTGATCTAAGCAATGTCCTAAGATGTGACAATTTTCTTCCATTATTTGATCTGAGGAAGTGGGTCTGGCCCACGAAAGCTCATCACCTAATAAACCATCTTGTTAGTCTTTAAAGTGCTACATAGTGCTGTTTTTTGTTCTAAGATTTGATGTGTTTCATTGGAGACTGCTGGCCTTGCCCACTCTAAGTGTATGCAAAATAGCCCATCTATGCTGTAACAAGAGTGCGGTTACTTCTAAGCCAGCTCTCCCACCATTGCAAGCGTAGATCGCATGTGCAGGGGTTTGCACCACTGTCTTCTATTTCTGGTGTAGAGGACAGTAAGCAATACTTGTGCTTTGACCTTTGGCCTTAATTCTGCAGTCTCAGCTGTGTGGGAGGAGGGGCCCTTACTTGTTCATGAAGATCAAGCGAAACCTATAGGTCACTGCAGAGATGCTTGCAGCTGAATGTAGCATCCAGCCCTTTGTTAGCAATGGTGGAAGCATTTCAGAAATTCACCTACATAGCAGGTTTTTCTGACACCAATGTGTTATTTTTGTTCCTTTTAGGGACTTAAATCTTGTGTGGTGTAAGTCTTTCATTGTTTGCTCAGCGTTTTGCAAGGACTGGGGGCCTTGTACAGTTTCCTTGATCTCTTCCAGCTCTGATTTCTAAAGTTCTAGGTCATCTATTTTAATCCATGCTTTTGCTAATGTAAGGTTGTCCCCTACAATATATCTTGCAGGGCTGTAATTTATTTGTACCAGCAAGAACCTAAACACACTTCTGGATACAGTATAAATATTAATGTACTAATAGAAGCTGTGTGCAGTTATGGCACAGAGTCACAATGTGTGTGTGTATGTGTCTAGACTATGTATCTCGTTCCTTTCCCCATCTGGCATTACTGTAGGTGTGTGAGATCATCTCTTTCCAGTGGTCCAGGCTGAGATTGAACCTTACGTTGTAAAACACATTGTGTTGAAAATAGCATGAAACTCCAGTGGTATAAAGATAACAATGATGTCCTTTAGAAGTCTCCAAACATCAGTTTAGGTATTTATTTGACACCAAATGACTTAGTGAGAGAGACTAGGTTAGAAATGCACTGGGAGCGGGGGTTTACGGAGTTCCATTACCCTATGGCAAAAGCATTGGACTAGGACTCAGGAAATACAAGGCAGTTGAGTTGTTGACTCTCTTTGACCCTCTGCATGAGTCCCTTTATTTCTTTGTTCCTTGATTACCCATCTGTAAAATAAGGATATTTCCTTTCCTCCCACCTATGTCTTGCCTGGATTGCAGGCTCCTTGGGGCAGCCACTGTCTCTTAATATATGTTGGGTACGCGTTTTAGCAACATGTTGATTTAATTCTTTAGGCCACTACATGAATATGGCTAAACCAGAGAAAGGATCTAATAATACACATTTCTTCATAAAACAACAACAAATGTTCATGTTAACCTGTTTGTGCTCTTCTGGTGGCTTGGTTCTGTAGCTGTGTTAGCACTGTCTCCCTCACTAAACAGAAAGGTCTAGCTGGGGGCACTAGAAGCAGTACCTTTTCTTCCTTGCTCTGCCCTGAAAATCAGGCCTTAGCTACACTGAGGTATTGCCTCAATGCCTGCTGCATGCATGGCAGTGCCAGGCTGAACTGTGACTTGCATCTGTGCAACTTGACAGCAGGCTAAATGGGTGCAAGTGCACATTATGGTTTGTAGCTACTTCTGTCTACACCAGGAGTTAGCGCTGATGCCGCTGCACTGATGTGTGAAATCGGGGCATGTCCCTAGTGTAGACACATCCTGTAAAATGGAAATAATACTTGTGCGGGGAAGAAGGGTGTAATACTAAATGCTTGCATAGATCTCAGTGAACTATCTAAAGTAGAGAGGGCAGCCATGTTAGTCTGTAACTTTTAAAAACGAGTAATACCGTGGCACCTGAAACACTAACAAATACTCTCTCTCTTTGTGTCTCTGTCTGTCTCTATATAAATATAAATAAAAATCTTGAGCTTTCATAGGCAAAACCCGCTTCTTCAGATGAGATGCTCTTGGGTCTCTAAGGTGCCACAGAACTACTTGTCCTATCTGAAGTAGAACATGTGGAGGCCTTGTTTATGCCAGGAGTGCTTTGCTACGGTAGCTATACTGGTGTACTAAATCAGCAAAATGCTCCTAAAAAGTTTGAAGTTTGTCCCAGCAAAATCACACTTAACTTGTTCCAGCTCCCAGAGTGAAATACTCTATCCTGGCAAAACTGCAGGGTTGCTGCTGTAGCGCTGTCGCTGCTAGTCCAGGGCTGTAGCATAGCTTTGTCTGTCAGGGATCTCACTTTTCATACCCCTGACAGAGGTAGGCTGGTAGAACCTTGTAGTATGTAGACAGCCCTAAACACAGTGTATATGTTGCAAAGGATTCAAAGGCTATCTCTTCCACCTCAGGCTGGCGGTTACTCTGACTTTAAGGTTTAAAAAGAAACACTTTTCTCCCCTTGTTGATGTTGAGAACAGTTTGTGTTAAAAACAACTTCAACAAAAGCCTGCCAATGTTTAAAAACTTCATTTTCCAGGCTGGCCAAATTCTAAACAGCCCTGGATCTGAGCCACCTCTTGTTTGTTTGGTGTCTCCAGAAATTAGCAGATGGTAGAGACTTAATTCTGTTAAACCTATGGGAATTTAATCACTAACAAGCCTCTAGTCGGGTTTTATGTCTTCTCCCATGCAAGGACAGCTGTGATCTGCTAGTAGAGGGAGTATATGGGATTGTGAGTGAAGTTCTCCTTTCAATTTATTGCTATCGTGCTTTATTCTTTGGATTTCCTCTCTGTTCCATGGGAAGAATGGAACTTACCTGAGCTTTGTATAACAGTTCTAAGTATTTTCTACTCTAATAAAGTTTTTTATGGTGGAGTTTTCAGTGCTCTGCATCAAGTCGTTTCTTGGAGTCAGGGTGGAATCCCTGTGTGGAGTGTGGATCTATGAAAACCAGTGTTACCTGCTAATGGAGTGAGGTGCCTGGACCCCTGAGTATACGTCTTGCTAATGATGTTAAGAGGCGTATAATTGACTAATCATGTTGTCGATCCAATTTGTTATCAACTACAGGAAACCCCCGAGTTGTGACCCCCGCTCTCCTGCACTTACAACTATTTTTCAAAGTGCAGAAGGGGGCAAAAAAACCCTGATTTACGTCCTCGGCCTGCATTTATGACTGCGCCTATTGTTAATGAGGATTTGAGTTACGATGCCTCCGACTTGCGATGCTTCCCCAGGGAACTAATCACATTGCAAGTCGGGGGTCGCCTTTACACAATTAGTCGATAAGGGAGGCAATGTGTCCTGGAGCTACCCCACTGCAGCTCTGCAGTTTAAATGTAGAAGGAGCTGGCACGCATGCAGCCCAGCTCCTACTACATTTAAAGTGCAGAGCCGCAGTAGTCCTGGACCAGGAAAGCTGTGACTAAGCCAGGCTTGCTCAGTCCCGGCTCATGCTGGGTCCAGCAGTCCCTGTCTACAGCCAGCCCTGGCCGCCGTGAACATAGGCTGCTTTGCAGCAGCCTCCCCTAGGTCCCCCTGTTTTCCCTGCTGCCTCTGATAGAGGCAGCAGCGCAGAGGGGGCAGGTGGCACCATGGAGACAGTGCTGGGGGGAAGCCAGCTCCCCCCAGCACTGGCTTCTGTCCCTGTCCCCGTCCCCCCGCCCAATGCAGAGGGGGGAGGGGAAGAAGGTACTAGAATAATTGACTGCTCACTTGCAACTCGACTACTCGCTTACATCCCTACTGGTGGCTACTAGTACATTTTAAAGGCTAAAGCAGAGTGTGGGAGACCAGGCATGATCTGGGACAGCTGATTCCCGGCTTGCACCTGGTCCCCATTATGCTTCTGCCTCCCCTACCCCACTTGGAGATGGTGCTGGGGCGGGGGACAACTAGCTCTTGCCCCTCCTCCCCTTGCTGCCTCTCTTTGATAGAGGCAGCAAGAGTGGAGTAGTGACTAGTAGCTTGCATCCCTAGTTAGAACTGTGATTGTTCCCTGCTTAGACTTTCCACCTCCTGCTCCAGGAAAAACTACCCCAGGTGGAGGCAGCCTAGTTAGGTGTTAATACTGGCAGGGCTGCACAAAGCAATGTGTAATGGCCAAGTTCCAGTCATGCACCCTTGCTTAGGCAGGAAGGGAAAACAACCCTAGCTGGTTTCAAATGCCCAATCGGTAGGTGTGTTATTTCTTACCCGCTTCCTGAAGCGGTGGAAAGAGCCATCCTTGAGTGCCCCAGTCCAGAGACAGGAAGGCGTAAGGGCAGGGAATAGAGAGGGATCCGTTTCCCAAGAAAATGGACAGATTCCTCACCGAGCCAGTGGCCGGCCATGGGTTCCACCAGGGTGAACTAATAAAGTTCTAGGAAAGCCTTAAAGTTACATTTCTTTCCTCTTTAGTATCTTGGACTGTGGTGCTGGCAAGCTTCCTACACCTAGCATCTAACATCTAAACCAGCATTTAGCTTACTTGTCTCAGCTGTGCTGTAAAATAAACTAATGTGGAATAA